AAGGGGGACCAGGAACACGAGGGAACACGCGGGAAGGGCGGGTGGGACGACCGCCGGGGAAGGCTCAGGGGGGCGCGAGCAGGGAAATGTGGAGGGAAGGGCAATCTCGGAGCGCTGGTGCGGCTTGAGGGGGGCCCTACAAGAGCTGAGAGGGAGAGGAGATGAGAGCGGAGAGGAGAGATGGGCGGGTCAGGGCCCTAGAGGACAGAGGATACCGGAGTGGCCAAGAGAGGGAGCGACCTGACTGGGCTGGGGGAAGGGGCAGAGATGGAGGGTGTGCCCGGGATAGGGCGAGGAGGAAGACGCAGGCCCCGGACCCTCCCCCCTAACCCTCCATCATCCGAGACCTGCTAAGGCTGGTTCCTAAACTAGTGTGCCTGGGATCAGGGAGCTTGCTGAAACTCGAGATCCCAGCCACAGCCCACACCTGCAGAATCAGAATCTTTAAAGGAGAGTCTGGGAGTTTGTGTTTGTCACAACCACCCTAGGAGGATGAGAGTTTAGACTAGTATTTGGGAACCACTAATATGAATCACCCTCTGTTCCAAACACCTAAAGGTACTCTGCTCGGTTCCCTGATTCTAGGGAGATGACCCCTCCCACATGGGTGGAGAGAGAGCCCATAATACCTTCTACCACCTCAATCCCAACATCTGGTAAATTCCTTCCGGAGATCTAACCTAATCTCCCAGATATGCTGATTTGGCCTCTTTCTTGCTAAGAGAGACAGAAAGAGCAGGGGCTGGCCCTCCCCCAAACCTCCATGGTTAGAAAGACAGACCATATGGAAAAGCCATGGAGAAGGGGACCCCAGGCCCATCCCAGAACCCACCACCACACACACACACATACTGGTCAGCACAGGGCTCGGGTGGCAGCAGCTTGTCTTCATCTTCTTTGTTAAACAGAGATGACATTGTCAGCCAACCTTTCACCCCAACGCCCTGAACCTGGGAGTGAGGGGCTGGGAGTCAGTGAGGGGATACAGCACCCCCTCCCAGGACTCCACGGCAGCCTCTGCCAGGCTCCCCAGGGCTGGGTTGTTAGAAGGGAGAACTCACCCGGCGGGCCAGCTGTGACATGGGATTGAAGGTCTCTGGGGTCGATTCCGCTGTCTCAGACTCCACTAAAGCTGGGTTCTCCGTCTGGGACACAAGCCCCCACCCAGCATTAGAGAGGCCCCAAAGGAATAGAAACTCCCTCCCCCACTGCTAGCCTGGTACACATAGACCAGGCACCCCAAACTCCACAGAACTAAACACACACCTAGTCTCCTCTCACACCCTCCACAAATACATAAAGGTATTTCTCTAACCAGGGGTGGGGAACGTTTGGCCCTCGGGCCATATATAGCCGGAGAAATCATTTGGTCTGGCCCTGCCAAGGCCTCACCAAAGAGCAGCAGTTCCAGCCATCACATTAAGGGTGAGTTAAATGTTTGACCAAATATAGCAGGCTAATTTTTAAGCTGATAATTTTGTATGGCCCGAGAATGATGTTATAAATATCCAAATGGCCCTTGGCAGAAAAATGTTCCTCACCCCTGAAAGCTACCAGTCACATACATTACCTGTATTGAAAAATTCCTTCAGAAGCCCTTGAGCACATGTACATGCCCACCTACAGACATGTCCATACACACCCAAAAGCATGTGGACATGGGCATGCACACTGATGTAGACACACCTGTGCATAAGCATGCCTCCACATGGCTACAGCTCTTCACCTGTACATGGCTGTAAGTGCTGTGAGGCATTTATACAAGGACACGTACACAATTATACCATTCACATCTATACAACTGCACAGAGGCCCACCCACAGCACACAAAACCTTTCCACCCATCCACAGACACCAGGACACAGATGTACACACAAACACATACAACATACAAACAGAACACCTGCCAAACACTTCTGCCCAAATGTACATACCTGAAAATACCTACGCCCAGTTCACACCTGCACATACACCTTCACTGGGGATTCTCCCTGGCCACCAATCCTAATACTGACCCACAAATACTTCTATACATGTCCAGCCCTGGACACTAACCTGTCTAGACTAATTCACACACATACATACCACAGAACATGTTCCTGCCCCTGCCACATCTATATATGCAATTGCCACTTTTCACAGATGTAAAACTCTAGATATAAGACTGTTTCAGAGCCTTTTCAGTTTTTGTTTGTTTTTTAATGTATCTTTATTGACTTCAGAGGGAGGGAGGGAGAGGGAGAGGGAGAGGGAAAGAGATAGAAACATCAATGATTGGCTGCCTCCTGCATGGCCCCAACTGGGGATGGAGCGCAAAACCCAGGAATGTGCCTGATGGGGAATTGAACCACGATCTCTTGGATCCTAGGTTGATGCTCAACCACTGAGCCAAGCCAGACTGGGCTCAATTTTTTTTTTTTAACATCAGGACAAACACGGTCCAAGTGCGGCTCTGATCTGATGCTGTCAGTGACCCTCAGAATACAATGTCACTTTCCCTGTCTCCGGTACCAGGGGACTCACTTTTCAAGGCAAGCCATCCCACTTCTGCTCAGCTACCAGAAAGTTGTGTCAAGCTTAGCATACCTTGTGTGCCACTGCCAATTGGATCTAGAAGGATCTCTTCCCTGTAGCAGCCCTTGAGATCCCTAGAGACAGTGACCATTCCTCCAGTGTCCCTCAAGTCTTTTCTTCTTGAACATCCTGGCTTTCTGACACTGCACTATGCCATTTGTCATCCTTAAATGTGCTGATTACTTCTATGCAAATGTGCTCCCCCCCCCAGACTGCCACTTGCCCTTCTTTGTACCTTTCACTCCTTTTTCCCCTCTGCCCCTGCCCTACCCAGCAAACATGGATGGTACCCACCTCCTCTGCTAGAGCCTCTTCAGATTCCCCACTCAGGGTCTGTAGCACTTTGGATTTGTAGGTTTTCCAGAAGGCCTGGTTCATAGCTGCAGGGGAAACAGGCCTGACACCCAGGCACAGGAAGGCAGTAGCTCAGTGGGCACCCAGTGGGTCTGGCTTTAGGAACTCGGTGAGACAGAGAGCCTGTCCCAGGGATCTGGTGACTTCATTAAAGATGCACCAGCCTCCTCAGCTGGCACAGTGCCCAGCAAGCGAACCTATCCAAAGGAGTCTAGGGTGGGGGTGGGACAGAGCAGGTTTCTGTCACCCCAGCTTCTTATTATTATTGGCCAAGAATAATAAAGACATCTCTCTCACAGAGGCCTTCTTCCTGGGCCTAGAAGTACCTCAACTTGATCTCTTGGAATGGCTCCAGAAAAATCCTCTTCCTTTCACAAAGTCCATTCCCAAAGTCCTTGGACCCAGGACCCACACTGGTGCCCCTGTGACTATTGCCATACCAGCTGTGCCCTCAGCAGGGCCCTGCCCTATGTCCCCACTTAGCCTCTGTGAATTGGAGTGGGAAGGTTCCAAGGCCCCAGTCAGTGTGCTGGGCTTACATTTCACTTTGTCTGGGCTGGAAACTGATTCTTTTCCCCAGGGATGCACGTGCCGGTCTCCCTGTTTCCTGGCAACAGGTTCCAAAGAGTTGGAGCCCCTGAATTATTGCTGAGCTCCTCTGGTCAGCCTGGAAGGCACCAGGCCCAGGTGAATGGGAAAAGGCTTCTCTGGCCCTCCCCCCGCTCTGGGCACACACCTAGGCTGTATCTCTTCTTTTGCTGCCAGCCCACGGGTGGGAGTCCAGAGCTCAGAGAAAGGGGGCAACGATGGGAGGACCCCTACCAGCACCTTCTTTTCTTGTGGGAGGAGCTGATCCCTCAAGTCTGACAATGCCTGAGCACTGTGATCTCTGGGGAGCAACCCCCCTTCCAAACTCCCTTACGGATTTGTCTGGGGGTGGGTGGGGGATGGACACCCGAGGGAATAACTGGGGAGCGGCGAGAAGGGGGTAGGATTTGTCAGGGAATGGAGGTATCTCAGGAAGCCCAATGGGGACCGGAATCCCAAACTTATTCACTCATTCATTTATTAATTTATTCACACCGCAGACCTTTCTCAGTGCCTCCCGGGAGACACTTAAAGCATGTCCCTCCTCCACCGCGGAGTCTAAGATCTGGGAACTAGGAAGGAGGGCCAGGGCCGGAGGATGACGCGGAGATGGGTGGTGCGGGGCGGGGCAGGCAGGGCGGCGGGACGCCCAGGAACCCCCAGGGGCGCGCACCACCCTCCGCTCCCCAGCGACGACCCGCAACGCCTCCTCCGCCCACGGGTGGGGACGCTTCGTTGGGCGCCGCCCGGGACACCATCAGCGACGTCCTCAGCCGCCTGAGGTCGCTCAAGTAGCGGCCCGCGCAAGTGACGTCATCAACGGCAGTCCACCCGATCCTGCCCCGCCCCCGGCCGTCACGTGACGTCATTGAAGAGTCCGGAAGCGCGCGCACGTGAGCTTCGCATTCGGCCCGGAGCCCTCAGGCTCCGCGGACACCGGCCATGGGTCGCTCCCGCCGGACCGGCGCGCACCGGGCGCACTCCCTGGCCCGCCAGATGAAGGCGAAGCGGCGGCGGCCAGACCTGGATGAGATTCACCGCGAGCTGCGGCCCCAGGTTCCCTCACGGCTCCGGCCAGACCCGGACGCCCAACCCGACCCCGACCTGCCAGGGGGCGGCCTGCATCGCTGTCTGGCCTGCTCGTAAGTCCCAGCCGGCCCGGCCTTGGGAGGAATAGGGCCCGTGCGTGGGCCGGGGCTGTGACGTCCGGGCCCCCGGGGCCCGCGGTGCCTCCTCTCGGGACCCGGTGGTCTGCGGGCCTCCCATCCCTTCAGACCCGAAGCTTGGCGTCAGGGAATGAGCTATGGTCAGGGATGCGGACGTACCTGAGATACTTCAGTTTACCCCCTCACTCTCCCGTTACCCCTCATCCCTATAGGAGGTACTTCATCGATTCCGCCAACCTGAAGACCCACTTCCGATCCAAAGACCACAAGAAAAGGTATGAAGGAATGAGGACTGATGAATGGGTGCCTGGTTTACCGAGCTCTCATCTGGGCAGCTCCCATCTCTTTTTTTCCTCCCAGGCTAAAGCAGCTGAGTGTGGAGCCCTACACTCAGGAAGAGGCTGAGAGGGCAGCGGGTATGGGCTCCTATGTGCCTCCACAGCGGCTGGCAGTGCCCACAGAAGTGTCCACTGAGGTCCCTGAGATGGACACGTCTACCTGACATGGCTTGAGGTTGCATGGCACAGGAGCTGCCCCTGGACACTGATGCAGAGCTAGGCTGGGAGAGACTGCCAGTCTTTTTTGGCCATGGGTTTGTCAAGTGGATGGCCTCTTCTGGGTGCCCTCCCCCTCAAATAAAAGAACTGGATAGAGAGTGCTTGCTTCTGACTCCTAACGTCCAGGCCTCCCCCAGACTCTTGCCCTGTAAGGATTTCTCTACTACTTTTGTGTGCAGGACAAGACTGTCTATTCCCTACTTGGCCCAGCTTTGAAACCTGCATCCTGGCCTGGAGATCCCAGGCAGAGCCCAGGTGCAGTGGGGAGGGGTGGGGAGTAGGATCAGGTTGATAGCGCTCTGCTTCCAATGAGGGCAGAAAAGAAGTGGGATCCCAAGATTGCAGTCCCTGCTGAGTTACCTACCCCCCAGGGCCCAGGTGATAGGCTGCCCACTTCGTCATGGGGCCTGTGGTGGTCGCCGTTGCCCCACCATCTTCCAGACAGCATAGCAGGAACCACCCAGTCCAAGGACAGCCAGCAGTGTAGCCACAACCCCAACCAGTGGACTCCGGGGCTCTGCCTTCAGCTCCCCAGCTAACTGCATCTGGGGATGTACAGAGGGTTCACATGAAGGGTCAGTTGAGACTTCTAGGAAGGGAGCGGGCTGAGAAGGCACAGCTGGATGAAGGAGAAATGGCTGCCATTGCTGCCCCAGGGAGATTCCACCCCAATCCCTCTCGCTTCAGTGCCCATCTGGGCCCTGGCTGCTCAGGTGGCAGGGAACGTGACAACATTCCCTGGCCGTTGGGGCAGACAACCCAGCCATGAGAGGAAGAGGAAGGGGTCAGTACCAGAAACTGTGAGTTAGGGGTACTTACCTGTAACACCCGGAAGTAGCCAGGGGTCAGGCATCGCAGTCGCATGGTGAGTGCCACTAGTCTCCCTGGCAGCCTGTGAGGTGGAAGCAGGAATGAGAACTAGTGGTATTCATGGTATGAAGAAGTGGGAATATCAGGGCAGAGAGGTTCCTGACCTCTCATATGCATGAGAGCCATGCCTTCAGAAGATGCTCACCAGAGTCTGCCCTCCCAGCTCTGGCAAGGGGCAGGGCAGCTGGACCTTTAAATCTGGTCCCTTCCCCCGCCTGCCTGCCCTGCCAGCCTTAGGAGCAGCTGTCAGAAGAGATCAGCATCAGGCCTGAGCAGCACCTCCCCCACCCACCAGGGAGGGGAGGCCAGGCTGGGTAGGCAGGAGAGGCCTTGTCTGACTGCGCTCAGGAGTATTAGGCCTGGACCAGGTAGTGAGAGGGCCTCTGCAGCCCTGGGCCTGGCCCTGGCCCCATCCCTACCTCAGATGATTGGATGTCACCAATCAGCTCTCAGCAAAGGTGGCCCTCCACAACAGTGGCACTCCTTTTTCAGTTGGTTTGGGTTAGATCAACCACCCCTACCTTTGGAGAATGCACATATCACCCCTTTCCCTAAGATGGAGTTCCTACAGGGATTTTCCTACCCTCAGCTTGAAAACGATAAAAGATTTGCATATACTGATTAAGAAAATTACTACTTTTTAGCACATCGTAGCAATATCCTAAGAATTTTATGTGCATTATGTTATTTCATTTGGCATTGATTATCTCATAAAATGGGGGAAAAAGGTTTATTTGCAGAATAGTATGTAGAATATCTACATATATAGAGAATAAAAGAACACCCAGAAAACTTAACAGTGGCCCCCACTGGGTAATGGGCTAAGGACATGCTGGGAAAAAGGTCCTTTTACTTAGTGACCTACTGCTATGTAATGATCTTTGAAATTTTTACAGCAAATATGTAGAAAGAACTTACGTTAAACTCATAAAACTACCTTCAAAATAGAAGCTGCCATTTATTGTGCCCCTAACTGCCAAGCCCTGCCAGGTGCTAGGGGCACAGAGTATAGATACTGTTGTGGTTGTTAGGCCCCCATTCCTTCTAAGAGAGTATGTGGGGTGGTACAAGTGGTGAGTTATTGTCTGTCTCTCCCCTACAGGATTGTGAGTTCAGGGAGGGCAGAGGGCGGCTGGCTTCTCACCTCTGCCTTGTGCCAGTTCAGGGTAGGTGTTTGATGGTATCAGGATGGTGGAGACCATACTGTTTATTGGGCTTTCCCAGGCTGCCCTAGGGAGACTGTTATAGGAAGGAAGAGGAGGGGGAAAAAACATTAAAGGAGGGCTCAGCATGGAGGAGGGTTGGAGGGGACACATAGTGCAGGATGTGAGAATGTGAAGTTAAGGACAAAACCAGAGAGGGGAGGGCCATGTTGCAAATCTGGAGCCTACTGGTTCACAAATGAGGGAGCTAGTCTTGCGGGGACCTTGTGAGCTGGGCATAGAGGGCTGTTATTAAACCCATTTTCAGAAGTTGGAAACTGATACACTGAGGCAAGAAGGGAATCCCCTTTGAAGGAAGCAACTGATCTGCACTCGTGTTTGATGCCACGTGTGAAAGTGGGATGGGATCAGCAGAGCTGGCCAAGTTCCAGAGAACTCAATTTGTATATGAAATTATTAAATAATGACAACTGACACACACACTACATGGGCATCTATGGGCCAAATTCAGACTTTAGGTCTTGGTTACAGGCAAAATAGTGAAAGACTTTGAAGGCTGGGTTTTAGGGCATTGGTAGAAATTTCAAATTAGGTGATACAGTCAGGGGGGTAGTCTCTAGGAAGCCCTCATAAAGTTAAAGCAATAACTCAGCTCTACTTCATGTTATAGATTTCAAAATATGTAAAGGACCTCACTGTGCTAAGGTCTAGGTGTCCCCCCTTTTGGAGAAGAAGAAACAAGTTCAGAGAGGGGTAGAGTTTGGGGTCAGTCACACATCAAGTGGAATTGATTCTGATTCCAAAGTCTTGGGAGTCCCCTGGCCTAGGCTGCTGATAATGATAACTGCAAACATTTAGTACATTTCAGATGTTGTTCTAAGAGGAAGGCTCTTAACCTGGGCTTCAGAATTCAGGGGGCCCATAAACTTGGATGGAAATATATATATATGTTTATTTTCACTGACATCTAATCAAAATTTGGCATTTCCTTCCATATGAGTTAAAGTGTTAGCAGTATCTGTGGCTTTGTCACCAATAGAAATCACAGCCCTAGCCAGTCTGGCTCAGTGATTAGAATGTCGGCCCTGGGACTGAAGGGCCCCAGGTTTGATTCTGGCCAAGGGCACATACCTGGGTTGCAGGCTTGATCTTCCCCTGGTCAGGGCATGTGCAGGAGGCAGCCAATCGATGGTTTTCTATCTCTCCCACTCTCTGAAAATCTATGGAAAAAATATCCTCAAGTGAGGATTTAGAAAAAAAAAGAAATCATATATATTTATATAGAATTGTAGTTATTGCAAGTATCTCAAAATATGCTCATAACTATTTCAAAATTGTGAGAGTTGCCCTGGCTTGTGTGGCTCATCTGGTTTGGCGTCATCCCATGCACCAAAAGGTTGCCAATTGATTCCTGGTCAGGATACGTGCCTGGGGCACATCCAGGAGGCAGCCCTTCAATGTTTTGCTCTCACATCAATGTTTTTCTCTCTCCCTCTCTTTCTAAAAAATCAATAAAAATATTTTTAAAAAATCGTGAGTTATTAAATCACAGTGTTTCAGACACTCCTGCAACATAGCTGCCATAGATTGGGCACCTCTGTGCCCAGTAGAGGGTCAGTGAACCAAATGGTGAATCCTCCTGTTCTTATACCAGTATCCCAGGCTTCTCCACGATTCCCTTGCATTCTCTATCTTTAGTTGTTAGCTGATTAATTTGAGGTGAGTCAAAGACCACTCCTCAGTTTAATGTTCTTATTCAAGCAGAGCAACAACACACTGATGTTAGGAAAGGAAATATAACTTTAACCTGCCAGTCTTGTTATTTAATACTAATAAACATATTACTGCATCATAAATTTGTGTTTCTGACATTTATATACTAACTGCCCTCCATGTAATCTTAAGCTTTTTGTTTTATGCTTTTAAAAGCATTATTCTGGGTAAGGATCCAGAGATTTCAACAGATTGCCAAAAGGGTGCATGGTACAAAAAAAATAGGGGCCAAAAACCCCTGCTCTAAAGGCTTTAGAGCTATTAACCCAGGTATCCTGCACAGCAGTCCATTTTACAGACAGAGAAAACTGATAAAACTGATGCATTGTGAGTAGGTTAGCCCTGTTCCCACAGCTAACAAGCTGTAGAGCTGGGGATTTGCACCCAGGGCGCTGGTTCCCTAAACTCTGGGCTTTGCTGCTTCACTCGATCACTTTTCAGCCCCTTTTTGAGGAGCCTAAAGGTCAAGGTGCCACCTGGGGCGGGACCCCAGGCCAGCTCTGAGGTCATATGGGTCACACACCGGTGGCACCGCCCCAGTGAAGCCGCGGGCAGCCGTGGGACGCCTGAAGGGCAGGCGGGAGTCAGACGGGCTGTGGGCCAATGGCAGCTTCGGCGCCTCACCTGGCCGACCACGTGGGCCCAGGTATGCTGGTGGCCCCGCCCCGGGCCCCG